GGGGGGGGGGGGGGGAGATCAGCATCGCGGACCACGGCGTTTCAATTGAAACGGTGATTTCAAACTCTCTGCTCACGTAGACGTACTGTGTGGCGTGTCCCCCCACCCCCAAAGTGGCCTGGCTTGACAAACGCACAGAGTCAACCCGGAAAACGGCTTTTTCGCAACTGTATGAAGCCGGGACTGTTGACAATCAGTTCGTTTCTCGCTCACCAGGTGGAGCTCGGTCCGCTCCTAACCCTTGACGTGTGCCAAGAGATCTGGGCCATACACACACGCCTAACCGTAGTGAAAGCGCACAATGGCTGCCGTCAAGGTGCGAGCAGTGGCAGAGCCCCTCGAACGTCTTTCATGGCCCGAGTACTCAACAACCGGACGAAGGTATTCACGCTGACAAGCCGAGAAGGGTGGTTTTGAAAACTATATCGTAGAGCGATTTCCTTGCACGTCTCGGTCGGTCCCCCTTGGTTGTGGAACAATCGAGCCATGAAAGCCGGTCTGTGATAGGGGTCCTGATAACACTCGCACAATTACCGTTCAGGGCACATCCAGCAAGTAGTGCGCTCTGTCTGAAGACAGCTGCCTCCACGCGCCCGTGCCATGCCTGGCACTCTCGGTAGATACAGACATCGCCAGGGAGCCACACACACACCCTCGTAACCCCAACATTAGCTTAGGTTGGGTGGTCGAGCAACACCGATGGTCCGTACAAGGCTATACGTTCTGCAGGACAGCGCAAGCCGTTGATCTCTCGACCCAATCGGGTGGAAAATTGACCCTGTATGGCAAGCCTTCCACATCGCGCTTTGGGCTCAATTAGGGCGGGAGGCGAGGAGGAGAAGCTCCACCGCTTCAAAGCAGTCTACAATCATCCCGGATCACCCTACTCATAATGTTGGCGATCTTGACCAAGGAAAGGCAGGCACTCAAGAGCCCGATGCCACGAGTGTACTCACATAGCCATTGAGTGACGTCTGAGGGGTGTGAACCGATTGCCACGAACTCCCAGGATTCGCACGCCATGCTGTATGAAATCTCTCCGTCCTTTCCGATGGCCAAAACTTCTCCCAAATTCCACGCGAGCTGTTTCAACGGCGTCGAACGAGCGTCGACAACAACGGCGATCGCCGAGAAAACGTTTGTGTTTTCGTTGTCAACGATGGTCGACTCACGGCAGGGATCTGACGAAGACCGAACACGTCTACCAGGACCAAGGTTGGCAGCCAGCGGGCCAGGCGGGACACGCGCTACTTGCGCCTGCATGACGGCCCAAACGATGAACTGAAAACAAAGAGGGCTGGGCCAGGCATCCCAAAGAGTCCTTCCGCACGTAGCAGGCGAGGAGATTGAGAGGCTTTACATGCTGCGGAGCCGTGCCGGGGGAAGAAAATAAAATCATCGGCACGATCTTGTTGAGCCTGTCACCCACAGGAAGATATCACGGTAAGCTGCTCGGAGACCAGCAGAAACACAGGTAGGTCATAACACAATATATCACCTCTAGTTTATCCTGGACTCCCATCTGTCCATAGAGGTGAAGTAGTATTGCTACATTTCGCCGCTGCCTAGAGGCAACTACTGCCCGGTGGACTCCGAGCGGGGAAGCAATGGAAAAATCCTTCTCAATCCGGGAAGTCGTAAGGGAGTCGCACGCACGCCTGTCACCCCCAAAGCTGCAAGCATGTCATGATGGGGGAGACGCATGCAAGAACGTACGGTCAATGAGAATCACACAAAGATCAGATTAACGCTGACTCTGAAACATGTAAGGTTCCCTCGTAGGATACATGAAACCGGGATAAAACGATAAAGGAAAACAAGATAAGTGCCAGCAAGTAACCAACGCCAACCAACGAAATGAACAGCGACAAGGGTGACGGCAATGGCAAAAAAGGAAGCGGAAGCCGAAGCAGAGGCAGTAGCAGCAGCAGCAGCAGAAGCAGCAGCAATAGCCAGCGCATGACTAAAGAAAACAACACCAAGCAATGCCCCCTCACCGGATTATCGCTGGTGGTGTAATCCATGCTTGTGGATCCGAAGATGGAGGGAGCGGGTCCGATGAAGGCGTCGAATGATTCCGTCCAGAAGAAGTACGGGTCTAGCGTCGAATCCAACGAGGCGTAGCACCCGTTGTACGCACTGTAGAGAGTAGAGGACAACTCGAAACTAGCCCCGAACTCGCAAGACTCATCCGCCTGTAAATGGCGGCTACCTCTGTTGCCGTGTTCAGACGGTACTGCTACCGCTGTTGTCATTGCTGTTGCCGCTGCCCGCGTTGCGTCGTCAGCTTCTTCCATTGGGCGGTCTCCCGTGTCCCTCTGCGCGACTCTGGCGGCCAGGGACGCTGTAGCATCCGTACGCATCGCCGACAACTCGTGCAACTCCTTCCACACCCCTTTTTCTGCCAGCTCGGAAGCCGCTATCAAGTGGTCGGTGCTCTCGCTCCTCTGCAGCCTCGACGCAGACAGCTTCAAATCGAACTCGCCACCCGCAGGTACGCCCGGCCGGTGCGGTCGCCCGTGGGACTCCATGTCTCTGTCTGCGTGTGGCGCGGCGGGGCGGGGTCCCTGGACGTACAAAACAGAGCGCATGTTTGCGGTGCACCATCTGTAAGCTCCCAAGCATAATGAAATAAACGGGTGAAACCGTGCACCCTCCCCTTTTGCTCGCTCTTCCCTCAATATCATCATGTGTGATCATCAAACCAACTGACCCCCCGAGAGAGACCAGAAATCATGATCATTTGCAAGTTCTCGTTGTTGCGAAGCATGCCGAGCTGCAACGCCTCCCGAGTGGAAATATATGCCCTTCGTGATGGGCTACGCGGCAGCCGTACAATTATGTCTTGCCCGCTGCTTCAAATGCCAAAGCATGCGGAAGCCACCCGAGATCGTGCTTGTAAGTGTGCTCGTGAACAAGCTTGTAGAGTACCAGCGGTCGTGTCGAGCACAGCGCACGAAAGAGCATGCATGTGCGTGAATGTAAGAGCAAATACGGAAGTGCCAGGAAATAACAGTAAACATATGGATGCGAAGCCGAAGCCCGTGTTCAATGGAAGAAGTCATACTGAAGTATGTGTGGAAGTTCTACGGTGACTTGGGGCTTTGTAGCACGGACATTCTTAGGACGTTCGGTTTCATCTGTTGCTTGGATGATGACACGTCATATCGTATCTTGGGCATTCTCGGCTGTCACTCTCTCGGAAAATGGGACTTCTGTATACGCGTGGTCCCTCAAGCTTAACATCAGCGCATTTCTCGGGAAGAAGCCCTGGTGGATACGGATCACTTGTCAATCCTGGCAAGCAATTGTGACATGCTAATGTCGAGGGACCTGTGTGAGCACCCGGAGTGTCATGAGGTCTTCGTCTTGGTTTGAGTGAGGGCCTGAAGACGAGGGGTTTTGAGGCTGGATTTTTTCCCGTACTTTATTTCTGTTAAAAGAAAGAAACACCCTTCCCGCCAGGGATAGGTGGTGCATTCCCCTGTAATCAGTAGAGGACACCATGAAGAGGCGCTGCGTGCTGGCACGTTCAGGTCTGCTACCGGAGCTGAAATATTGAAGGTCGCAGCAGCCTCTGAAAACAGTCCGAACTCTGCGCCGGAACCAAGCGGCATCCAACGCTTGTCACAGCCATCCTCACCGCCACGGACCATAAACTCCTGAACGGAGGGTTGTCAGCAGTAGCTGGTGGCATCAACTACTTCTGTTGACCCGCGGTTCAGGAGATTGGGGTCAGCGGCGGCGACTACGGCTGTGACAAATGTTGGATGCCGCTTGGTTCCGGCGCAGATTTCGGACTGTTTTCAGAGGCTGCTGCGACCTTCAATATTTCAGCTCCAGTAGCAACCCTGAACGTGCCAGCACTGATAACAATAGAATGCAACACCTAACCCTCAAAACTGACCTTGTTTAAGCGCCGGCTCTTTCGACTTGAACCTAGAATCGCGTGATTTTTTATCTTGATTTCAAAGGAGGCGTGCGGAGGTAGACGCGTCCAATGTTGGTTTGAGCACCCTCTACTGCCGCCCTGTGCGAGAATAAACTATTTCTGTTTTACGCGATGCCTTCCGGCTGGTCTTGTGCGTCTTGTGATTTTCTGGTGCTCTTGCGTTTGTTTTCAAAATTTAAGTCAACATAGAAATTGTTTGTCCTCAGACCCTTAGCCTCGGTGTTGTTGTTGTTGTTGTTGTTGTTGTTGTTGTTGTTGTTGTTTTTCTTCACGTTAACTCGTGTCAGTTGCCAATCCCAAAATCTAGCAATGACTCAGTCCGTGGTCACAAAAATGCTAGAGCCATCAGAAGATCTGAAGAACACACACACAATTAGCAAGGAAAGGGTACGCAAGCCCGAGGAGGTACACCTGCAATCCCTGCAGCACGTTTGCGTGCTCACAACTGAACTACACGCCCACAGACTACAAATCGACTACAGCAGCAGCATCACCCCCCTTGTCTCGCATTTAACCAAAATGAATGTCGACTACAGCGTACTGCTGTCTGAAGTGCTGTCTGTACAAAAATAACACCATGGTGCATGGTACACAAGCTCGGGGCATGCAGCTGCTGTCTGAAGTGCTGTCAGAATGAGTCCGTGGACATACAACAAAGAAGAACACCCACTCAAAGCCATCATTGCAATTGACAATCACCCGAACCTATCCAGATCATCTGTGTTAGGCACAACAGTGCAAACATCGACACTGACTAGGAATCGTTCCACATTGAAGGGGTCTTCCACGATGCAGGTACACAATTATGGCACCCGGGTGATCCGCGCCATCTCTGCCGCCTCTCTCTACAAAACCAGTGGCGTCATCACACACACCCAACACCTGTATTCAGGAAAAAAAAAACGGAAAAATAATTGACAATACAAGAGATGTTTGTCCGTGCGCCACGGTTCGATGCCGTCCGCATGCTCCGGTTCCGCTGCTCCGGTGCCGCTGTGGCCAGTCCTAGCACGACCAAACTCGACCCGCTCCGC